AAAAAAAAAAAAAATTTGCCAAAATTGTTCAAAATGTTGCTGGCTTAATTACCGATCACAAGTGTATGTACATATGTATTAATATATCTTTTTTATTTCCCAATTATTTCGTTGTTACTTACCTCCATAAACTATTAATATTTTTCATTTATTTTCAGAAATGGTTTTTCGCGCCTGTGCATTACCCTATTTAAATTATGTTAATTCAGAATGTCTTACAAGATGCTGGAGAAAATTTAAGGATATGGTGTATCAGATGTCTATGTAGGAATGTACATATGCTATGGAACATGAAACTTTGTATAGAAATTAAGTGCTACACAAAAGGACTTTTAAAATATAAATTCTATTCATCGATATTAGTTGCACATTTTTATTACATCATATGTATAAAGGAATTGTATTTATGATAGGCGTACGCTAACATTACCACCACATTCTCCTTTTGATTCGAAGTCATATTCTGCAAAATAGAGGTAACTGATAAGGTATTATTTTTTATTTATTTTATTTCACTTACGTCCGTCCGGGTGTTCGCAATTGAAGCGTCCCAATACACAGTCGTTACCGAACGTAAGAAGTTTGTTGCCCTTTTTTGCTTTGGCGCAAATGGGTTCATATTTCTCACCACAAGCTCGGCTACAAGCCGGAGCTTGCTTCTTACTGCTTGCAGAAGATGCGATAATAGCAGATACAAGGGAGAGTACTGTAAATGAGTTTAAAAGTTGATTAGCAAATTTAATAATTTCAGAATTTATGTACATATACTGTTACTCCACAAATTCAGCGTACGGCTTTTTTTGTTAATATTCGCAATGTTATACATGTTCATATTTTTTGTTAATTTTGTTTTAAAACATGGCTTCTGTTTTAGCAAATTCCATTTGAATCCAAGAATGATACTGTGTACAAAAATAAGGAAAAATATGCAAAGTTTCAGCAAAATCGTGAAATTTTTTATACAAATTTCTAAAAAGAATTCAGGTATGCTGTTTTATAATTTATGTAAAACATTGCGAATATTAACAAAAAAGAGCCGTATGCTTAATTTTGGGAGTAACTATACGCACAGTATCGGTCATATCTATAGCACGCCATTTCAAA